TAAAAAAAAGTTTGTGCAATTTAGATCACTCGTTATGGCACAATTAGCATTTTAAATTTAGTAATTTTTTTAAAAATTTTCAACTGTCCGGTGACTTTTAACCACCCACTGTAGTTACATAGTATATAATTTAATTTGTCACGAAAGGCAAACAAGATTAGTTCGCGTGTAACTTTTTTTATCGTACTTTACACCAGATTCAACCAATAATGATTCTTTAATTGAGATGATTTAATATTATTTAAAAATTAGAATTTTTTTATATCGAAGAAAAAATAATCGTACCACATTTATATATAAAATTTATTAAGTGTGATTATTTAAAATCATTCGGGTCACGGGGTGTAAATTCGGATTCATGGTGTATAATGCTTTTATGTATTATTCAGATCACTTCTATTGTATATTATTTCTATTGTATATAATCTTTTAATTGTTTAAATCTTTCGGATTACGTGATGCTAATGCTTAAAGTAACTATATATAAATTATTATTATTATTATTGTTATTGTTATTTTGCTATGTATTATTGTATAAATAAAAAAATAATAAATAAAATTACTTATAATAAATTTAATTTAAATAATATGTGTATATCGTGTAATAAAAATAATAATTTAAATAATAGTTCAATCCGTCAGCAAAAGTGACGGATCATAAATTAATCGTATATAAAAAAAACCACTCAAATATTATTATAGTTATTTTCGAAAATATGAAAATTTACTTTGAAAAATTAAAAATTAGCTCTACCAATAGTGTGTACACGAAATCCAATTGATTCTAATCTTTCAGCATCAAGAATGAGACGTCCATCAAAAATGAAAGCAGGTTTATTCATTTTCTCGTAAATCTTTTCAAAATTCAATTCCTTTTAATTAAAAAATAGTAAAGGTTATTATAAGTAATTATTAAGTTAATGAATATAAATTATTAAATATAAATTAAAATTATTCACCTTGAATTCATCCCACTCAGTAGCGATGACAATGGCATCAGCATTGACAGATGCCTCATAAGCGGATCGGGCGATGGTAACACGTCTCTTTACTATTATTAAAGAAGAATGAAAATAAATATTTGTAACATAAAATATAAGGAAAATATAGAAATATATGGAACATAATAATTACAAGCTATTGTGTTACCTATAACACCAGGTTCACTTAAATCTAAAAAGATTTGTTCCTCGGAAACTTTTGGATCATAAATACGAACTTGGGCATTCTCTTGAATGAAATCTTTGCATAAAGTGATTGCAGCTGATTCACGAGTATCACCAGTATCCTTCTTAAAAGCAAATCCTAATACAGCAATTCTTTTATTTGTAATAGTATTGAATAAGGTTTTAATAATACGAGAAACAAATCGTTTCTTCTGATATTCATTTAGATCAACCACTTGTTTCCAATATGCAGCTACTTCAGGTAAATTAAGTTGTTCTGACAAATAAACCAAATTCAAAATGTCTTTCTGAAAACAACTTCCACCAAATCCAACTGATGCTTTTAAAAATTTAGGTCCAATACGTGAATCTCTTCCGCATGCATATGCCACTTCATCAATATCTGCACCTGTTGCTTCACAAATAGCTGATAATGCATTTATTGATGAAATACGTTGTGCTAATAAAGCATTGGCAGCCTATAAAAAATTATTAAATAAAAAATTACTAAATAATTAAATCAATCAATCAATCAATCAAATCTTTGAATTTTAGGAAATTTTAAAGAGATAGATATTATAAATTTTCTAAAAAAAATCAAAATAAATATTATATTATAATTTACCAATTTTGAAAGTTCAGATGACCATAAATTAGTGGTGATAATTCTATCTGTAGGTACCCATTGTGCATATATCTCTGCTAAAGCTTGTTGAGCTTTTAGACCTTCAGGTGTTTGTAAACCACCAATTAAAACACGATCTGGATGTAATAAATCATTGATAGCAGTTCCTTCAGCAAGAAATTCTGGATTGGATAAAATATCAAATCTAATATCATCTCGACAGTTAGCTTCCAAAATTGTACGCATACTCTCCGCAGTACGACATGGTACTGTAGATTTTTCGACTACAATCTTCGAACTTTTCGCAACTTCTGCAATTTGACGAGTAGCTGATTCAACATATCTATACATTAAAAACATTAAAGTTTATTTATCTAATTCAAAGTTAATAGAATTATTATGATAGATCTATCATAATTAAATCTAATTATATTATAATGATTATCATTAATCATTAATTTGGTGAATTAAACTTACGCCAAGTCAGCAGCATAACCTGCACCCATCCCGGCTTTTTTTGTGGGAGTATTAACTGATACAAATATTAAGTCCGCTTCGATGACAGCTTGTTCAGCTTCTGTACTAAAGAATAAATTTCTTCCGCGACATGAAAAAACAACTTCGTCAAGTCCTGGTTCATAGATGGGAAGTTTGTTCGAATTCCAAGCAGCAATACGAGTTTTACTTAAGTCGACAATGGTAACTTGGATATGAGGACATTTGTATGCGATGACTGCACAAGTTGGTCCACCTGCACATAAGTCAATAAAGTTATGTAAGTCGTAGCTTCCTTTTTACATTCAACAAAACTTTTGTAAAGTTGAGAGGGTAATTCCTCAACACTTTATTTATTAATTCGCATTTCATTGTTTAATAGAGATATCTACCGACATAACCAGCACCAAGACAGCATATCTTTTTTACTCGAGTTGTCATTTTTTTTTTTTTTTTACGTTATTGAAAAAGAATTTACGAACATCATTTTTTATAATCATTATTTTTATTTCTGCATTATCTTCGTTATCTACATTAGGTATGTTACAGAATCTTATTTGTCAAACCACATTTTTTTTAAACGCTACTCGGGGCGATTAATCAACCTTCTACGCATGTAGAGTAATTAATTTTCTATCTGAAATATTTATAATATTTATAATATTATGTAATAATATTATTTATAATATTTAATATTAATAATATTATTTATAATATTTAATATTAATAATATTATTTATAATATTTATATTATTCTTGTTTAGCATTTGCTGATTGTTTATTGTTATTTACATCTACCACTGAATTTTATTGGTCAAAATTTTGGTCACTGATTTGAGATTTCGTGACTTAAATTATTTAAGCGTGACAGAACAATTATGTCTTCCTAGTAAATAAAATAAAATATAAGAAAACAAATTATTTAAAAAACCTAGTTATAATAATAATAATAAATGGAAGAAAAAACCGCTGAAATTTCTCTTGCTGATCTTCCTCAATATGAAAAAGCGCCTAATAAAATTATCCCGTCTCAACAATTATTTTCGGTAGAATATCCGGGATATGTAAAGAATATGGATAAAATTTTACAAACACTGGGCGGAAGAAAAGGTTTAAAAAAGGTGGAACAACAACAATATTATTATTATTATTATTAATGATATTAATAATAATAATGATAATAATAATAATTAAATAATATTAGAATTTTACATGTTTTAAAAAATTGAATTCTATCAATTATTTTCTTTAAAAACACAATTTTATCTAAAATCAAATTTGATAAAACCATTGAAATCATTTAAACTGTTTAAAATGTGTATAAATTATATATAAACTATTATGTATAAAAGGCGGTAAACGAGGATCTCATGGAACTTCGATTTAGACCTGGGGATCCATTCTGTCATCCTATAAATGGAGATGTCATTCCAACTTCAAACCTTTTATTAAAGGTATCGTGGAAACGTAAGAAAATCAAAAAACGCGTCTCAAAACGTTTGGTTGAAGAAGAAGATAATAATCAAAGTGATGACAGGAATATCAAAGATTTAGATTTTCAAGTAATTGGAATTATTAGTAAAACGTGTCGATTTCGAGGTAAATTAAAAATTTATTTATTATAATTCTTTATAATTCTTTATAATAATAAAAATAATAATAATAATATTATTATTAAAAAATAGGTATGGCGGATTATCAATTCGTTCCTAATCCTAATGATACCATTCCAAAATATAGAAAATCATTAGAAAATTTTGATGGTACGTAAAAAAAAAAAAAAAAGAAATTTGATGATATCGTTAATTAATATTAAGGATGAGAAGAAAATATTAAAAGATTTGAATTTAATGTTAAATAGTTGATTCAATTATGGAATTTGATTCAATCATGAATGATGATAAAGTTGAAGATAATTTACCACCACCTTCATTTTCTCGAATTGAGTGTCCTATGGATTATGGGTAAAATTTTAAACTTAATAAAAATAATAATATTATAATATTATAATGTGATATAATGTTGTAATATTATAATATAGTTAATAAAATTATAATGTTAATATAATTAATATAATTAATAATATTATAATTTGTTAATTTAGATATCGTCAAAATATGGCAGTTGTCAAAGTTTTAGTGCAAAAAGGAGATGGTCAGGTAATTATATATCTATATCTATATCTATATATATTGGGAGAATACATTACAATAATGTTAAATAATAATATTAGATAATATTTTACAAAAAAAAAAAAAAACCTATATTTAGCCTCCAGCTCTTAAGCTGATTAATAGAAGTCGACGCAAAAAATTTTTGTCAATTTCAATTGGTTTTGATTCAGAAAATATCCTTTATTTTTATCCATTTTTTCAAATTTAATTTAATGGATTTAAAATAAATTATCTTTGGATAATTATCCTTAAGGGTTCTCTTACATATTCCAGATATACCACCACCTGAAGTTGTTAAACATCAGAATTTGGCATCTCCAGAAAGTATTGCACGAATTCAAAAGGTAATTATTATTATTATTTATTATTTATTATTTGATATTTGATATTAATGTGTTATTTCATTCATTTCATCTCATTTTTTTTTTTGAATATAGCTCTTTTCAGAAAGGCCAATTTGGACAAGATTAGCATTGCTAAACAATTTACCTGTGTCTGAGAGAAGAATTGTTAAAATGTACGTATGTTTCATATATTACATAGAAATAGAATTAATCTTTTTTCATTCAATATTGTTAATGATGATTTTTTTTTTAGGTTATTGCCTTTAATATCTTATTGGATGATAAATGGTCCATGGCGCGATTGTTGGATTCGTTACGGATATGATCCAAGAAAAGACAAGGATGCTAGATTGTACGTAAATAGATTTTACTAATTTTAGTTATATCAAATTTATTCATTCATTTATTTTTGATACTCATTTTGATATTCATTAAAATTTGTTCTTTTAGTTATCAGTTACTTGACATTCGGAATACAAAACGTCCAACAAGATTAGATAGAGCAAAACGACTTCTTCGTGTTCAAGGAGAATCTATTACAGATTTAAATGAATCATCATCATCTCATATATCAGATAATTTTATTAAGTATTGATTATATCTATATTAATATCTACATATCTATATATTTTATACCTTTGATTTCTCTATTAAATTAAATTTACATTCACTTAATTCAGTTCTGTTCCACGAACTTCCCATATTTTTGATGGTCGCACTACTCAACGAGATATAGCAGTTTTCCAAATGTGTGATATAACCGATCCATTGTTAAAAAGTTTAATTGAATCACCTGATTCCGTGCAGGAAGATTGTACAGTAAGTTTGTTTATTCAGTTTATTCACAAATCATTATCTCAATTGTAATCTTAAAAAAAAATAATTATTCCAATTAATTATTATTTATTATTATTTATTATTATTAATTTTTTTTATTAACTTTTATTATTAATTTTATTATTATCAAATAAGGAGCGAGATGGTCATTACAAACAAAGTGCACTACTAAAAATGCGTAAAGTAATGAGGAGAAAATTCAAGGCATTGACTGAAGATAAGACTTTGAAAGATGAAGATTTCGAGGACTTGCTATGCGATGATTCTTTGGGAAATGAGGATGACGGTCGTGAAGTAGAGGAATTAAGTGAAATCGATGATGAAGCAGAAGGAAATTCACATGCTAACAGAGTAAATTTATATCGATTATTATTTTATTATTATTATTATTATTATTATTTTTATTATTATTTTTATTTTATCCACTTATTATCTTTAAACATCGTTTAATTAAGGTTATGCATAATCTTCATCACGCACAACTACAATCTATTGAGCACGAAGGTTGAACTTTTTTCTATAAATTTTTAAATCTCTAAATCTTTTTATTTATAGCATAAAATATTAAAATAATTCATATTAATAGACGAACTGGCGCAAGAAGAAGATGGAATTTTATATGAATTAGATGATGAATATGATATATTTGGAGAAAATGATAGTGATTATAATGATGATGATTTGGATGATATTCAATGATTAATGATTAACTGACTGTTAATCTTGTGAATTTAGATAAATAAATAAATAAAATAAATAAATAAATTATTTAACAGATTTCTTGTTGGAAGACCTTTTGGATTAACAGTTTTTTCTAAGGTAATTAATTTATATTCTATTTTTTTATATTTACATAATTTAATTTCTCTTCAAGTTTTTTTTCTTCTATTAAATAGAATTTATTAATATTTAATATTTAATTGATATAAATTTTTATTAATTTGTATTTGGTGAAATAATATAGAAGTCAAAGGGGAAATGAAATATTAAAATACATAATTATATAATATTTTCATAAATTAATTAAATAAATATTTAATTTTTTTTTCCGTATCTTTTTATTTTAATAAATGGAATTAAGACATCTAATATTACAAAAAATATTTATTATCATTTTAAATTATTTGAATATAAATTTATTTAAGTTGTTAAAGGAATAATTAAAATAATAAAGCTTTTCGATTACATGATATATTAATATTAACCAATAAAAACAAATTTACTCTATGCTATTTCGTTCCTGTTTAATAAAATTTACTGGATTTCCATTATGAAAAAATTCAATATAACGATCATGTTGAATACTCTGAATTTCAATCACTAAACCATATTGCGGAGAATAAATGTCAAGTTCTAATCCTTCATAATTGAAATCAAGGATACCAACACTTCGCGAAAATCAAACTAATGAAAATGATGAGAATAGTACCAACTTAAATGTTGTTCTAGTTCTCTTTCTTTTTCCTTTTTTTTCAATTTTGTAACATTATGTGATTAAGTCTAATTAAAAATTAAAAGTTTTCCTATAAAAATTCGCGAAAGTGTCGCGTGCTTTGTCGCGTCATTAATTCCTTATGATCACATGACTTTCACATGAAACTAACGCACATTTTTAATAAATAAAAATTAAAAATTATGCTATGTTACTTCTTTTTTTGTTGCCTTTCTAAAAGTGCATTATTATGGAAAAATATTCAAAATGGAGGGCAAGTTTTCATTATTATATTTAATTTTTTTAAAGTCGGTTTCACTTACTTTTTAATCTTTTTCTAGGACTCAAGCACTGGTATTCAACCCTTTCTTCCTCCAGTGGTAATGTTAAAAAAATTATTTTCCGTTTTTTCGGCTTAAAAAGTACTACTTCAAAAAAAAAAAAAAAATTTATAACCTATTTTATTTCTTAGCCTTCAAGAAAAGAAACTTCAAAAATCGAAATAGTGCTTGGATTTATTTTAAAACCTATTCTAGGAATTCTTAAGTTTTTATTAGTTGGAGCTGATGCGTTAATACTGTTTCTTCTCGTTGATGTCATTGGATTGATTCTGGTATTACTTAATTTTCTAAATACATATTCAAATATTTGCTTTGATATTCAGGTTTATTAATGCTTTTTCTCGATATTTAAAGATTAAATTTAAGCTAATTTATAGAGGATTTCATTTTATTATCACCTTTATTTTGGTACGACTTGCACTATTTTTTATGGGATTTTATTGGATTCAAGCGGAAACTATTTCTTTACGAAGAGGGTAATGTATTAATTGAAAGAAAAAAAAATTAGGAACGATATAAATAGATTTTAATAGATTTTTTTTTAAACCATTAGACGAGGGAATTCTTTTAAAACGCGTGAAAAACCAATAAAATCTGGTGATATAATTGTTTGCAATTATACATCCTATGTTGATTTGTTATATTTGGCATTTAGGTAATATAAGTTATATTTCGTTTTTATTATATTATTTCGTATTTATATATTAAAGAGATCAATTTTTATTATCTTGATAATATAATTATAAAAAAAAAAAAAAAAGATTCGATCCAGTTTTTACACAAATTTACTCCCAAACAAATAAGCTGAGACCAATATCCTTGTGGACTGCACTAAAATTAACAGGATCATACCCAGAACTTGTTTCGCCTATAGGCACTAAAACTTTTAGTCTACATGAGTTAATGATCGAAGCTAAAAATAATAGTTGGGGTCCGATTGTAATATTCCCAGAGGTAAATATTTTTACCCTTAATATTTATGTAACATTAAAAATTTATTTATCTCGAATTTGTTTCTTTAAGGGAACCACATCGAACGGGCGAGCTTTGTTAAAATTCATTCCTATCTTTAAAGATTATTCATTTCCGATCAAAAACTTCTCAATTAATATTATAACTTTTAGGTAGATTATTATCATCCACATTCTAGGTTACGTTTCTCATTCATCTTATAAAAAATTTAAATGATTTTTATTTTTTTCAGATACGAATATGAAAATTTCTCACCTACGTTTACTGTTGGAAGCAAGCTTTGGCATCTTATGAGGCTTTGCAGTCAGGTATAATACTTTGGTTCATTTTAATCTTTTTCAATAAAGAATATTTTTTTGATAGTCTTTAATATTCATTTGAATAATTCGAATAGTTCGGTAACTCTCTTCACGTGAGAATAATTGCACCCCAAGATTCGCCATCATCTTCAAGTTACACAGTTCAAAATGTCCAAACGTCAGCTGCGTCTAAGCCGGAAGATACTGTCGGTTTCCAAATACAGCATGTTATGGGAATGTTATGTAGATTACGTAAAACTAATTTAGGAGTATCCGATAAAATAACGTTTTTGGACTATTATTTAGAAAGAAAATCAGGCGTATATACGAAAAGATAGGATAATAAAACGAACATACAAAAGTTTAAAAAAATTCCTTTTTTTTTTTTTTTTTATTTCAAATCATTAATAATATCTTTATTTCACTTAAAAAAAATGAAAAGAAAAATTATTTACATTTTAATAGTTTTCTTTATAAAGGTCAATTATATTTGGAATTTTCATAACTTCATGCAAAATACTTTTTAATAACATGGCAAATCTAGATTACTTTTTTGTTAAAACATCTCGCATATTCATAGAATATTAATAGTATAGCTATTATTAATGTAATTGCATAATAACTATTAAATTAAATATTACATTTATATGATGAAAAATACTTTGATTCAGAGAATTATTGGATAAAAAATCTGTATTGCACTAACCCGTGATGTGCAATTTGGTTTTGCCCGATTAGCGGGCTGACATTTTGCCTTTACAAATCCGGATGAACCGATTGTGAAGAAATGCTATGACGCAAACTAAGCTGTCCCAATTAGGTTATTTTATTATTTTTTTTTTTACTGATCCGCTGATCGGTTAATTTCCACGCATGAATTTTCTAAGATAAATAAAATGTCACGTGGGATGAAAAATCTGTTGATGAGGTAGATTGCAGAATTATAAAGTTCTACGTTAATATTCCAGACAATAAACCAGAAAATTTGGTGGATTTATTAAAAATAACCTCTAATCGATTTTTAAGAGCTTTACTTTACAATTATTGATTTATTGCCATCCAATTTTACAGATGAAATTTCATTTATTTATTAGTCAAAATCAAAGATATACCAGTCCGCAACGTCATATTTTTTATTTAATATGTTAAATAGTGCATAATAAATATTATTCTCTGTTAAAAAATTGATTAAGCAACATTTGATTATTGAATATATTGTATTTATAATCTTTATTAAATTTCTTATAAAGATTCTTATCACATGACAATTCTCTCTCCTGCGAGAAAATGTTATATGATGACGATAAATTTCACGCAGCTAAGTATAAGAAAAAATATATTCTAAGGAAACTGGCGAGAATACAGTAACTGAAGGCGGAAAAAATTTTAAAACTCAAATTTTCCACTCCAATCATTTTACTCGAGATTGACGATTTTGGATCTAAAATATATATATATAATCAGTTTCCTCATTCATTAGAAAATCTTAAACAACTTTTTTAAAAACTAACCGATATTGATCAATATTATCTTTCGTTAATATCACTAGTTCACGTTTTGTTAACGGTTTTTTTGTCAAAGGACAGATATTCTTTTTCGCTTCAGAGGAAAGGCATCTAACCCAGCTGTCATAACTTTAAAAAGTTCAAATAATTTAAATAATTTAAAATAACTTTGAATAAAATAAAATCAAACTTTTGAGAGAAATCGTACCCCATCACATGCCCATACGGAGAAATCGCAGGCTTTACGACCACCTCAAGAGTAATTGGATCAATAAAATCTGGAAGCGGATTGTCGTCTTCTATTTCTTCCATTCTATCATCGTAGTTACTAGTTTCTTTGCTTGAAGATGCCTGTGCTCTTGTTCTCTTTGTAGTATTCCACGATTTTAAAGTATAACTACCAGAATCATCATAATCAAGATCATCATCTTCGTCATCAGATGCGAAACTTCTTTTTTTGTTACTCTTGATTGGTTTACGTTTTTTCTTTGTTGGAGTTGATCTTGTAGTTGTTACTGATGATTGTGTTCTTGTTCGTGCACCACCGCTTCCGTGTTTTGTATGTGTCCGAAACGTTCTTTCGGTTTCTCCTGTTTTTTTGTTCTTTGTACTAAATAGGTAATGCGCTTTGCCTTTTTCATCGAGTACATAATTCGGATCTTTGACACGACCAGTTTCGATCAACAATCGGTAGAAATTTGAGCACTTTATAAAAGAAGTTGATAAATAATGAAATAAGGATTATTTATAATAAATGAAAGAAAGGAAACTGACTAATAATAAAGATATCTTGCCTGATAACCAACTCGACCAGGGATAGTCATTGAAAATATACCCCATTGTCCATCCGAACCAATATCTTTCAATCTTTGAAAAAAAAGTTCTTCTTCTTCCTGAAAAAAAAAAATATTAAGATTATTTGTTATTTCTTTTAAATATCATTTGAATTCACGCAACATTATATCATAGTACCTTGGTCCATTGACCTTTTTTTTGCTCTTCTCCGGGAGCATTGAACCGATAATAATACGTGTTCGGCTTCGTATCGATAGCTTTGTATGCCTTAATACGCGCTTCTGACCAGCCTTCGAATGCCTTTTCAAGATCTTTAGTGTTATCCTGAACTTGTTTTAAGGCGTCGTCCAATGCAAGGCGACCTTTCATGCGGTATTGTCTAATAATAATAATACATCCATGTAAAGCGGAGATGGAAAGTCAAATAAATCTAGATCAAAATAATTCACAGTGGTCCAAATAAGTACTACTTTTTGGCGTTTTCTCCTGTTGTTTTCTTGAGAGTTTCCTTTCGTTTTTTTAATAACTGCTCATATGCCTCCTTTTGTTCATCGGTCATTAAATTGACTATTCAAATGAATAAATGAATTAAAAATTATAATTCAAATTTTATAAAAGATTATGAAATCCATGATTCTCGCGAAATACGCACTGTGAAGAACACGTGAATTTCGTTCAGCAATAGTCTTACGAATTTCAATTAGATAACGAGGCTGAGTCATTCTCACAATGACTTCTTCCTGGATTTTAATATTAAATAAGTAAATTTTAAATTCTTGACATAAATTTATTTAAATAAAGTCTTCCTTACCTCATCATTTTCACAATCTCGCAACGCCTCTGCTATTTCTTCATTAGAAACGAATTCAAAAACACCACGAATTTTGCGTGATTTGCGTTCGCGTTCACGTCGTTCAAATTCGGCATACTACATAAGAATATTGATATAATATTAATAAATCGATTAAAGATATTCAAATTCAAAAACAAATAAACAATATATAATGATACCTGACGTTGCTGTAATGCAACTCTTTTATCTATGATATCTTGCTCTGTCTCAGTAACATCTTGAGCAAATAGACTTGTTTTTCTTATTGTTTCGATTTCTTCGCTAACGTAAATAATATATTTAATGATATTGAATTTGATAAATAATTATTTACTAAATCTTACCTAGGTTGCAAAAATAAAGGATTAATGTATTGGTTTTCCTCTATTTGTTCTCTAGTTTCTCTATTCTTCATGTTAGTTCTCAGTATTTGCTAATTTTTGATTAATTCTTTTAATCACAAAAACTTTGAGTAAACTAAATACATAAGAATATATAATAAAAAATTCACCGAAATATCAGAAACGACAATAGAAGCTGGAGGGGTCGCCAGCATCCAATTGACAAATGTCGAATCTTTCATGGAATTGAAGCATTCTTTGGAAAGTCAACGCAAAAAGAAAATTGGTATAAATACATTGCAGTGAAGATTTATTTTTGAAATGGATTTTTAAATTATTAACCTTCTGGAAAGAATTCAGTACGTTGTTTTTCTTCTTTACAAGTAGCAGAAGAACTTCTTGTAGACATGTGTCCACGTGCCATTTAATCTTACAAATTCTAGATGAGTTTACACCATGAAAATTCTTATGAAACTTTAAAACAATCTATTCAACACAACTTTTAAAAGACAAATCTTTTTCGTTACAGGCTATTTATTTAATAAAAACGCGTATATACGTATTTAAACTTTTCTACAAAAGGTGAACGGGAACGGGGTAACTGAAGCTAAGTTTTGTGAGAAGGTTGACGCGTAAATTATATGTATATTTACCATAATGAGAATCACATTTTACATCAGTGACCGTCACCGCAGGTGATTGCCACAGTTGATTTTGTGAAACAAATGAAAATTATTGTCACCGTAGGTGACCGTCACCGCAGGTGATTACCGAATTTTTCATATCTTTGTATTCCGTTTCGCTTTACTTATTAAAGAAATACCTATGAGAATCATCAAGAAAAACAAAGTTTTTACATATTCTTAAGTATTGGGGATATACTGTATATTAAAAACTTTTAAAGGCTTACAATCTCTCCAACCTTGTTGGGCTTGAAGCTTGTGCAGCTGATCCTTCCCTAGTGCTCCTAACGGTCGGATCGACCCGGTTGATCCGTGTAACTCGATTCGGGGTACGAATCGAATCGGGTTAGGGTCAATAATTTTTAAACTCGAAAGTTGATCAGGATTTATAAATGTTCCAAGATCTCAAAAACCGTTATTTTAAAGGTATTTTTCGTACTAATAAAAGTTGTTCCTTATATTATTTTACACATATTTTATTAGTATCATAATAATTGTTTTTATATTAGTTTTGAGATACTCGACAATAAAATATTTTATAAATGGTATACATTTTTGAAAACTACTATTTAAGGGTAGAGTCTAATCACGTGATTATTAATTAATGATGATCATCTAAAAAAATCCAAGGATTATTGTACAAGGCTAACTCACCCAAAACTCTTGAAAACAGTTTTATATTGTTACAACTTACTTCTTACACCTCTAGTATCCAATAATAATAAAAAAAATTTTATTTAGTTAATATTTTTCTTCTATATCTTCAAAAAACTATCAAGACAACTTTCATATGAAGCAAGTGGCACTAAGTAAAATTGTTAAGAAATATAAAAATAAGATTGAAATAAAATTTTATTACAAGTTATTATGTAGTATATTTCTGTAATTACAAAATATATTTAACTATTATAGATAATGACTCCTAACTGGTATACGGCACTTGTATCGCAAGACCCTATAAATAGAAAAACCTATAAATGATCAAATGGAAGTTGAATAGTGACTGACTATTCTTCTGGTCTTCATGTTCTAGATTTACATAATGAAAAAAAGTCATTTGATCTCATTTCAGATATTTCTGATGATATAAAAATCGCTGAAAAAAAAAATCACAATACAGATTATTTTTTTCAATAAAATAAAGAAATAAAATATTCATTAATTCCATTATTATCTGAATATACTGTTATATATCCGCAAGTAATAAAAAATTTAAACTAACAATTTTAAAAAACAATAATTAACTATATTTTTTTTAGAAAGAGTATGGTTGTGATATCTCTTACATAGATAAAAAAACACAAGGTTCTGAACGAATGGTATTTCATTATATGTTAAAAAAATATGGCCTCAGTTCTAATAATTCTATTATATCTATTCTTGGTCTCAATATTTCTGAAATAATTAAAAATTTATAATAATTAGTTCATAAAAAATTTTTATCTATTTTTCAATACAAGATTCTTTATCCGAAAATTTTTAAAATTTCAAATGTTATAAAAAAAGAAAAAATATTATGATGCAGCTTAAAACGTGAAATCAACAAAATTGATAACAGCAATAGTAATATTATATATGAAATCAATATTGAACTCGAAGAAAAAATATTAGTACCAAAAGAGACTCAAGTTTTGATGATAAAAAATATAGAATACAAGTAATCAATTTATTTCAAAAATAAAATTATTAAAACTCTTAAAGAAAAAGTTATTTCAAAGGAAAAAAAAATATTGAAATAATTACACAAAATAATAATAAAATTCAAAATTTAGCAGAAAAAAAAATTGAAGAAAACAAACTTGGATCAACTATTTTTATAAGTATAAAATATTATCTTTCAATTCTTCTTTCATTACCATGCCCTAATTGTTCTGACTTAAAAGTATCAAATAAAAAATTTAATATTAAAGCAGTAAGATTTAATATTATTTGTATTATTAAATATTAATATTACAAAATATCAATACAATATTCCAATAAAAATTCAGAAGTAAAATTTTTTCATTTAGTTATAGAGGCTACACTTGCCAGGGGAATAAATTAAAACTCAATTCAAACCGTATTAGCCACTATAGGTCTCACAAATCAATGTTACAAACAATTCTATCACTATTACCAAATTCACATGTATAAACTGATAATAGAGTATGCAAAGTTTAGTAGCAAAATAATTTTATTAAAAATACTTGATCAATTAAAAACAATTAATTTATTTGATGAAGAAAAAGTATTGCCTGTAGGATTTAATTATTTGTGGTCTCATTCTCGTAACGCGCATCAAGCTAGTGGAGAATTTTTATATTTGGGAGATTTTATTGTATATAAATTATAGTTTTTTTATTATTCCACATTTTGTTTCGCTCATTACAGTAATAATAATATTTTATAAATTATGTAATTCCATAGAATACCTTTTATTTTTTATATATATTTATATTCATTATAAGCGTGGGATAAAAATGATACAATAATCGTCCTGATAATATTTATACTTCTATATATTTATTTACTTACGATCACAAGATCATGATCTATATTATACAAATTAATTAATAAACTCTAATTTATTAGTATTGTGAATATTACAATTGCAGTGAGAATTATCACTCTTTGCAAAATTATGCAGTCATGTGAAAATTTGGTAATATAATTGATAGGTATTCGAATACCAAATAAACAATATCACATATATGATCTTCAAATTTAGGCCAATAAAATTTCATAAAAATTTATATCACGTTTCAAATCATAATATTTTTTCTTTTTTTATAACATTTGAAATTTTAAAAATTTTCGGATAAAGAATCTTGTATTGAAAAATA